GCAACTCCCTGCCAGGAGGGGGCAGAGAGGGGGGATGAGTCTCTGGAGCCAAGGCCCCAGCGCCAGGCCCCGAGGGAATGGCCTCAAGCTGCCCAGGGCAGGGTCAGGCTGGCTCTGAGGAAGGATTTCTGTGCAGAAGGGGCTGTTGGGCGTTGGAATGGGCTGCCCAGGGCAGGGGGGAGTCCCCGGGATCCCTGGGGGGGTTGAAGAGTCGGGCTGAGCCAGCGCTGAGGGATCTGGGGGAGCTGGGAACGGTCAGGGGGAGGGTCATGGTTGGGCTGGAGGAGCTTCAGGGGCTTTTCCAACCGGGATGATTCTGGGATTCTGTGAAAACCTGTGCACTTCAACCCCTCCTGTGCACCCCAACCTGTGCTCCGCACCCCACTCCAGCCACAGTGTGGGCTACATTTGCCTCAGTGACGTGCAGGGGGGTGCCTCTGGCTTTGGCAGCCCCTCAGCCACCGCTCTGCTCACCCGGCCAGCTGCAGGAAGGGCAAAACCCCCCCCAGGGTTGGGGCTTTGTGGCTTCTCTCCCCGCTCAGCCTCTCGCCGGCCCTACCTTGGCTGAGAAGCTGCAGGTTTCGGACCTCCTCGCGCACCTGGAGCTGCAGGACCTGCTGCAGGACCTCCTGCCGCTGCGCCTCGGGAGCGATGCCCATGCGCTGCAGCTTCTCCCCGTTCAGCCGCAGCAGCGCCCGACCTGCAAACACGGCGTCGCTCAGTGCCCGGCGTGGCAGGGACACCGTGGAAGCGCAACTCAAATGGGAGCCCATCTTCACGCGGGGACAAGGAAGGGGAAAAGGAAGAAATCCTAAAATGCTCTTTCACCACCTGGACCCATGGGGATGGAGGAGGCTCGGAGGTGGCCCCGCTTTTGGGGAGCAGCGGGTGGCAGCTTGAGGTCCCCAGCCTCAGGACAGGTAGGTCCTGGCTCCAGCCATCACGTAACCCATCCCCGCAGGCAGGAGCTTTCCATTTCTCCACTCCACCTCCTGCATCAGGAGCTTTTTTTCCGAGCGCGCGGTCCCCGCACAGGCTGCCCGTCCCCGAGGAATGGGGGTACCCATCAAAACACATTAGTGTCGCCGCCACTGTCCCCGGCAAGCCACTCTCCTCCAGTCCGGGGGGCTATTAGACGAGGGCTTTACAACCAGCTTTTGTCCTTGTTTCCCAGCGTACATTTGCTAATGCTGCCTTTGTTTCCCATGCAAGGGCTGGCTGAGCTCTTGCATTAGAGCTTTGCATCCCTCCCGGGCAGCTCCAGCGCTCCCTTCCCTGCTCCCTTCTCCTGGCCCTGGCCACGCAAACATCGCGGTCAGAGCGGGACGATGCTCATACGTAGAGGTCAAAGCCTCTGTCCCCTTGGGGCAAAGGGGAGGGAGCAAGTCCTAGAGGTAAGTGTCCTCCAAGAACTTGGCTGAGAGTTGGATTCAGACCTGCACAAACACCAAAAGACACACTTGGACTCCAGCTGGTCAGAGGTCTTTCCTCCTCTGGGAAAAATTTCAGTATTTAAAATATTCTGATTAGATTAATCTAGGTGAGAAGACTCATCCCCATCTTATAAACCATGATCTCCCCTGTGCTCACTGTAAACTACCTCCAGCCTGTCCCGGAGCACCCCTCAGTGCCAGATTCCTCCTGCCCAGCCCGGTGGGTGTCCTCGTGCCGGGTGCCGTGGGGCAGCTCTCACCCCGGCTGTGCCTCCGTGGGTAGAGGGGGCAGAAATGGGGGGTACATCTCTCCTCCAAACCACAAACCTCCAAACAGCTGTTTCTCAGGAACACGTGCTAACGGCAATTAGTGCCGATGAGTAAGCGGCGGTGTCGACTGTACCTGTGATGGCGTGGTGGGAGAACGCCTCCACGTAGATGAGATAATTATGTGGGCAGTGTTTCTTCAGCCATTTGCACACATCCTGCTGGGTCCAGAGCACCACCGGCTTGGCCAGGCTGCCCAGCGTGGGGCTGGTGTGGTAGATGCCATAGTGGTCACAGGCACGGCCCTGGGGGGAGCAGGAGGAGACGGGGTCAGTGGCATTTGGCCCCACGAAGTGGAAAATGTCTCAGCCAGGACTGGCTCTGAGGAAGGATTTCTGTGCAGAAGAGGCTGTTGGGCGTTGGAATGGGCTGCCCAGGGCAGGGGGGGAGTCCCCGGGATCTCTGGAGGGGTTGAAGAGTCGGGCTGAGCCAGCGCTGAGGGATCTGGGGGAGTTGGGAACGGTCAGGGGGAGGGTCAGGGTTGGGCTGGAGGAGCTGCAGGGGCTTTTCCAACCCAGATGATTCTGTGACTCTGCCAGCCCACGGGGATGGGGAGGTGCTGAGCAATGTCAGCAGATTTTGGCTTTGCACCCTCTGGAGTCCCTGCGCTCGTCCCGAAATAGCAGCAGCAGAAGAACCGGTGAGGGAGGTGGGGGGAGAGGATATGGGAGGCCGAGGTGAGGGTCCTGCCCTACATAGACCCCACACCGGGGGGCTCCCCAGCCCTCCTGCCGAGGCAGATGCAGGAAGGTGTTGGCCTGGGAAAGGTCAACATTGCTCGGACCATGGTATGGCAATGTCGACCTTCGTGCACAAACATTGGCTAATTAAGCATGCCTGATAGAGGAGCAGAGCTAATTGGTGTAACGGGGACTCCAGACCTGCCGCAGTTACCGACACTGATGACACGTCCCTGGGGGATGTCAAAGAGGAGGTGGCGGGGGGCAGAGGGGTCTGGGACATCTCCCCCAGCCCCGTGCTGGGCTCTGCTCACCCCTCAGAGCCTGGCCAGCCTGGCAGGGGCTGCTGCTGCACCCAGGTGAGAATTTGGGCTTGGAAAGGGATTTTTCCTCAAGCAGAGCTCGCCTGCAGCAGCTGGGGACATTCAAGCAAGAGGGAAGAAGGCAAAGTTGGGAGGCTGTTCATAAATAACAGAGGAGTCCCTCTCCAAAGCAGATGGAAAATGCGATAGGCAATGTGCACAGGTGGGTTTCCCAACCAACCCAACCTCCACATTTGGGGGGACCCCTGGTAGCTGCCTCCCCCCCGGCTCCCTCTCCAGTCACAATCCCCGGAGCCGCTTGCCCGCGGGAGCAGCCCCAGCCTGCGCTGGCCGCTTGGCTCCTTCACACTCGGCTGAGCGTGCTGGAGAGCGTGCGTGGGGAGGAGGAGGAGGCGATTTATTCTGGATGCACTAACGAGTGATGATGCGAAGCAGAGGGGCCGGGGGAAATAACAGCGAGCTTCCCATGAGCTTCCCGTGAGCTTCCCGTGAGCTTCCCGTGAGCTTCCTACATCTATTATCCAACTAACCCTCCGAGGCACGGGGGAAGAGGTGACAAACAACCTGAAATTTCCCTGGGCACGCTCGTGTCTGCAAACGCTCCCCCCATCAGACACAGCCCGGCGCTGGGGACCCATCTCAGCATCCCTAAACCCTGCGCCGCCGGCTCGGGGTGCATCATCCACCGTGGCAAGCAGAGCTCCCCCTCCACTGGCAGGTCCCCGGGTGGGCAGGGGAGGTGTAATGAATCACAGGCTCGTTTTCCAGCCGGTTGAGCTGCGCTGTCTCTCTGATAAACTCTCAGCCGTGAATATCAAGCACCGGTGTTGAGGAGAGAGGGCGGGAGGGCTCCGGGGCTGCTCCTGGGGAGAGGCAGGAGGTGGCTGGGGGGGAGAGACGGCTGGTGGGAGCCCTCCCCTGGGAGCTGCAAGTAGACTTGCCTCACCTCCTTTTTCTTGGGCATTTTTCCTTGCTTATGGCAAAATTAAAGCCTTTCTCCCGGCCAAATCCCTCTGCAAGGCACATAGAGGCAGACGGGGGAGAGCCATGTGAAGGCAGCTGGCACGCAGAGAGCGGCTGGCGTGTCCCTGTGCAGGCAGCGTTGTGCAGGCAGCGCTCTCCCCATGCTTTTTGCAGAGGTGTAAGAGGAAAGGAGCCACCCTGGTGCCTGGAGGGGTGATGGGGACGGTGCCACCAGGACACTGCTGGGAGCATCACAGGGGGATGGTGGGACTGGACCCTCCTCCCCTCTGACGCTGAACCAGCCAGGCCCTTAAGATGCAAAAGCATCTCCATGTTGGAGGCTGGAAGCTGGGCAGTTTTAATTTCCCCCATTTTCTTTCCAGCGGTCACCGGCTGGATGTGCTGCCTCTGAATGCCACTCCCGGGGCGTTACGAAGGGGCTGGGAAGCACCAGGAGCTGCTCACTGGGGAGATGCTCCTTCCCACGGCTGTGCAGAGGGAGGGCAGCAGGCCAACGGCTGGAAACTTTTGGCTCACACCCTCCTCAGTGCAAGAAAGTTCAGAATTTTAGGAGGAGAATGACCCAAACCTGGCTAAGAGACATACCCAGGGATTTTAAGGTGTTAAAAATAAGGAATTTGGTTCTGGCACATTTATATTAAGTCCCAGCTCCAGGTGAGGAGTGGAGGTGATGCACAGAGCTCACCCCAGCACAGCCCCCAGCCTGATGATAATGCTTAAATTATTATATTTATATATATTACTATAATTAAATGCCCAATAATCACAAAGACTTTCAGTAAAACGGGATCTGAAGGCCTGATCCTGCAGAGAAAAGAGAAACGCTCCGGCAGGCAATTGATGGGATGGGGGACACGAGGAGCCACGTTGCCCTGGGCAGCCCCAGGGTGGGGGTCAGGGGTGCAGAGGGGCCCGGCGGGTACCTGCGAGCCCTCGGTGCCCGGTTGCCGCAGGAGCTTGACGGTGCGGCCGCCGTCGGGCCGCTGGCTCCGGCCGTCGTGCCAGGTGAGGCTGCTGCCCGGGTTCCTCTGCAGGCGGTAGCTGAGGTTTTCGGCCGAGACCGTGTGCTCCAGGAGGCTGCGGCAGAAGCTGAAGTGAGCGGCGGTGGCTGCGGAGGGAAGGAGGGTGAGAGATGGCCACCGTGACCCTCCACCACGCACCTGGGCACCCACAAACGCCTCTTCTACCCCATGGGACCTGCCGAGCTCAGCCGTACGCCCCACCGCCAAAATCTGCCTGCTCCTCCCTCCGTCTCTTCCCCATGCCAGGGAGAAAACCTGTCAGCCCACGAACCCGCCGGAGCCGGCAGGCGCCAGCGAGATGTTTGCCTACACAAAGCCCTGGCGAGCGACACTTGTTTTGACACCCGCCTGCAGCGCAGACGTGGGGACCCCGTAGCTGATCTTCCCGGCGGGGTTATAGCCTCCTGCCGGGAGGGGTAAAGGGGAAGAGCCACTTTCCATGGGCCAGGCTGACATTAAACTGCCACCATCCCAGGGGTGGGCAGCAGGTAAACCCCACCCTGGGCAGCCGGATGGAAAAGGGGATGCAGGCTGGTGTCCCCTCCCCGGCACAGACCACGGCTGCTGTCAAACACGCACCATCCCATCCCTGCCAACCCCCAAAGAGCCGTTTACCCACAAGGAGTAGTTTTTGTCCCCCACCCTTTGTGTTTTAATAAGCTGAGGGTCCTGGGGTTGCGATGAGGACACAAAGCTTGCCTTTGAGGGGGGCTGAAGGGACACGGCTGCTGTGGGAGGGGGACACGTGGGTATTATTAGGGGCTCATGTGCTCATCTATGAGGGATAAAAGCCAGACGGCTTGATATAAGCAGCGCTGATCCGTAGGAGCAAAGACCAGAGAATCCCCCAGCTCACCCGCTCCCACCACAGCAAATGGGCAAGTTGTGAAACCCCCGAAAGCAGAGCAGCGCCCGAAGGAGATCCGCCTCTGGGGACACCCCACCCTGCGGGAGCTGGAGAAAACCTGCTGCAGCTCATTGTCATCGTTAGTGGGTTTGAAGAGAGAAGAGGCTGTGACGAGGTCTCTCGAGGATGCCTTCATGTAAGAGGAAGAGCAACTGGCCAAAAGGAGTCAAAATGGAGCAGGAAATGGTTGTCAGTGTGTCTGTGTGTCCCAGGTTATCCAGACAACATCACACCGCCTTAAACACACCCAGAGACAAGCGCTGCCATGGGGAAACTGAGGCAGGGGACCTGCCCCACGGCTGGGAAAGCGAGGGGGTTTATGGCAAACGCGCTGATCCACGGAGGGGCTCGGTGTCGAGCAGGGGCAGGGCTGGCGGGGGGTGTCTCTGTGCCCGTCTCAGGCGATGGGGATGTCTCTGATGGCTTCCGACAGTCTCAGACACCCAGCGGGCGAGGGGTGTGCTCCCTTCAGCCGAGGATGCCCAGGGTACCCCTGGCACCCCGAGAGCCCGGCCCTGCCGCAGCCGTGCTGGGCTACCCCGAGATGAAAACGGCCCGTCCCGCCGGGCGCGGGGGGCAGATACGGACCCGGCCGCCGTGGAGGGGCTGGTGCCAGAGCTGTGTCCTG